GCTCGGAGAGTTTGTCTTAGTGTTAAGGCTAAATTTGAGCAATCAAGGCTCAATTCTTGATTTCCCACTGCACTATTGACAGTTCAAGAGCTTTCGAAGTAGCTTCACGTGCTAACCCTAGAACTTCATTTGGGAACATAGTACGCGGCCACTTCAATTTCTTGTTCTTTCCCATATTTATATAAACACGCCTATAAGTAGCTTTTCAGCGACCTCCAACATTTCTTTGTTTCATTTCTTAAAGTGGTTAGGTAATTCGCTGTCGAATAAAATTTTGCGGTTGGCGTTGAACTCCACTTAAACGAACATCATGTCTGTTAAAAAAAAAAACAAAGCTCAAAGATCACCCGCCGGAGGCTGAACAGGAAAACCAGCATATTCCGACGACAGTAGCTAACTGACGTTTACAGTGCATGTACACTTTTGGATACGAAATAAACATTCGTGTTCTCATATGCCTGAACGCCTCTGACATGTTACAAGCATTCTGACGGCATCCGTATGGCTTAATTTGGATTAAAAAGGATGTCCGATATGCGGAACCATAGACAGGCAAAATCGGCCATTGGAATAATTGGAGTGCGGTTTCTTGTTTATCTCCTGCTCGTATTATCAACTTTCCAGCTTTTGATTTAAGCAACAATTTAACCCACATAATCTTCTTCTACACCTTTAATTAACAGCATTTTTCCGATGGGCAAAGAGCAACTTTTTTATGATATACAATCCAAGCAAAACCTCATATTTAACTTTTATCTCCTGTCTGTTTAAGGGCTTAATTTTTATTTCTACCGTCGTCAAACCGCAAATACGACATTCTCGTTATGTATTTTGAGGCAGTTAAATATCTGTTTGTGCCGTGTCTTGTTGAGTCTTGAAGGAAGGGAAAGTTTTGGTACATCCGACACTTTATTCGTCCGCTTTTATCACTGTTCTTTACCGACTGACTTCCAGCCTGCTTCTCACATGTTTTTTTCGAAAACAGGATTAGCCATCACAAATCCAAGCAAGGTGCTGATGCCGCATCTGTCCAAGGGAGTACAATAAGTATG